CCTGCAATAAACTGGCAGCCTGTCTTTGTCCTGTATCAGCTGGGATAGGCTTCATCCTCCCGCAACCCTGAATTGGATACATTGTATTCCAATTATGTAATCTGATCATTTACAAACTCAAGGTATCTAATCAAAATGTAAGTAATAATTATAAAATGGGAAAGCAGAAATAAGTGTGACATAATGTAAATGTGTGAGCTGACATAGAGGACAGCTACATGCAGTCTGAAAAACCTTTGTTGTCTTACATAGAAGAGACGTTAAAGTCTCTAACTCAGTGAAGCATTATTGGTCCCGTCTGTTTGGATAAATATAGTAAGTTGATGTTTGTCCATTTATTCACACATTTCTTAAGTGCTTATCCAGTCAGGATCACAGTGGAGCTGCAGCTGGATATGTTCAGTAAATAAACCTTACAAAAGTTAACAATAAACCTGCATCCATGTACGTTGTTGTCCACAGGATGAGAAAATCAAACTGGAAGACTGTGGAACATGTTAATAAATGTTTGTGTGTTTATGCCTGTGTCTTTCACAGGAGGCGCTGGAAGGTTTCCCTAATAGTTCCTGGTGAATCAAAGCAGAACCATAAAGGTTGCTGGACTGCATGATGGCCTTACCCCTGAGCCGTCATCCTGTTAAAGGAGGAACCAGTTAGAAGCTGTTTTCAAAGTAGCTCAGCAGATTTCATCTCAAGTAAGCGATTAACTGTTTGTTCATCTGTTCTGCCACTTAAAGAGCATTTAAGGACATCTTTGAGTGTCCAGTTGAATTAATTCTACTGGCTCTCATGGTCATTTGTTTTATAGACATATTTTTCATGTTCATCCAGCTATTTAGTAAATTCTATCTATTTAGTAATATCCGTCAGCTATAAAATGTAATATAAATATAAAAATATCTAAATATCTCCTGCCCTTTATGTTTTAATGATGTAAGTCTGTTATCGTGTTACATTAGCTTTTTTCACATATCAATGAGATGCTGTACAGTACAATCCTACTGACACAGCAGAGGGATAACGACGGCTATTCAACATCGTTACACGACACATTCGAGCTGCATGACGCAGACAAAGTGACTAAATCATCTTTTTGTGGTTTATTGTCTTCAAACCAGCAGACAAAGCCGATGTCAGAAGATGTCGGAGAAGAACTTCAGGCCGTGGACTGAAAAGGTATTTTTGCTTGTTATCAAAGACATTTGGAGTGGCAGCTTCTACAACTGGTTGTGCTGAAGTAAAGCTTACAGTCTAAGAAACCACAGTGTTGATATTCAGCACAAAGAGAAAAGCTCACTTGTTTGAATTTATTTACAATCATAGTTTTATAAATTCTGACTGTAAACAGCATTTACAGCTTTGATATTGTTTGACACTCGATATCAGTGATGGTTTAATTTAAAGGTTTCTGTGTCCCAATGAGCCATTTACACTGACCAGTGTCACTTTAACTGTAACACATTCATTATTTAGATTCAACAAAGAAATAACTGAATGTAAAAATGGCAGCCCACAGGCAGGTTTATAGAGATATATGCATGCATTATGAAATTTATGTATCCCAGATAATTGTTATTCATCTAGTCATGGCAGACCTACCCCTTCCTCCCAAGTTAACTGCAACCCAAAAGAACTAGTGGGGCTATTTACACACTCACAACCAGTGTGGGGTAAAAAGAGCCACCAAAAAGCTGTCAGCCACAGATGTGCTAGAAGAGTTAGAAACTCTACTTATGGAGAAACTTTCTAAGTCTAACAGGGGACAGGAACTCCTGCCCAAATAACATGATATAACCCCACATACAGCCCAGCCATAAAGTGAACCAAGTCATTTAGTTAAAGACAGCATGGGACCAAATGCATGTAACCAGCCTGCACCCACCTGACATTTCTTCCTCCTGAATTAAATGAATGGATGAAAGTTAAATGACTACAAACCTAAAGCCACTAGTTCCCACACTGGAGCTCCCTGACACTGTGTGTTAACTGTATTTAGCTTGTATCAACAGTTGTAACAGGCTAAGATACGTGAGACACTGCATTGAATGATTGTTCCTGTCTTAATGGTTTCAGCTCAGATGTTCTGCTTTTTCCTTTCAGTAGATCAAAGCAGCTCGTGCTCCTTCTGCTTCCAATTTAGAAGAAGAAGAAGAAGAAGGCGAAGGCTTCAGCGAAGTGGCGTTCATGGTCTCAGTGAACAGTCACGGTCACACACTGCATGTGGTTTTAAAAGCAACATGTCTGTTCACCACATCAATGGAGATGTGTAATATTAGTGCAGCTACGGTTTGTTCTTGAACATCACTTCTGTTTTCTACTTTGATCACTTAGACCAAAAAAGTGTTGTTTTCAGATTCTTTCTTTTACATCTATAAACTACCTGTTCATTTTTTTTATTACAATTAGTTTCACATAAATGTTAGTGTTTCCTTTGTGATCTTTTAATGCTTACACTACACTGTACACGTCTACATTAGAGACATTTCTGTTTCCTGTTTCTGTTGACTCAGAGTTGTGAAATGTTCTTTTATTTGATGCACAATATGAAGCTCATAATTTTCTTACAAATAAAACTCTAATGACAAACATGAACAGCCGTGCTTATTTCTGAGACATGAGTTTTTGAATGTGTTCATATTTACACAGTGTGCATCTGTATGCTGAAACTGTGATGGTGAACCTGAGGTGATGGTCAACAGAAGGCAAATATATATCAATATAAAACAATATTGAAGTAATGTCTTTACCCTCTGCAGCGTGTGGACGCTGTGCACGCAATCACCTTATTCACTGTAGTAAACATGCACCGCTAGCTCACGTGACTGACTGTCTCCATGGTTACATCGTATATTATTAGCTATGTAAACAGCTTCCAAAGATACCGCCATAGCTCTCTGCAGCTGTAACACTTTCACACTTGCAAATCATTTCACGTTTTTGATAGTTATGAAGACAGAAAATGTTTTTAAGGTCATGCTAGGCGGTTGCTATGGTGGTTGCTGTGGACTTGGCTGGACCGCGTCCGATTCCTGTTATTAGCTGTCCGCCGTAGGAAGGCTGCGTTCCATTTACAAGTAGTGACAGTCTGCCGCAACTCGAACTCAAACCCCGCTTTGTTCTTTAATTATAGGCCTTTTATAGCCGTTCATGACACGCACACACACACATAAAGCACTTTGCCTCACCATGAGAATGCAAGTTTACCTAACCTAACCTTAAAGTATCTGATATAGGATAGAAAAATGAAGCAACCAGAGATTTAATGATGAAGACTCTGGGTTCTGTAGTTGACGTTTTACAGTCCTGAATGACTCTTTGCATATGATTTATTGAAGAGGAGTTTAGAATGCACTTTACATTTAGACTGTTGCTTACAGTTAGACTGTCAGGGTGTACATTACCTTGTACTCAAGCATCCCAGGACAGAGCCCTGCCCCACCATGAGCCTGGGTGGATACGTGGTTATAATATAAAGGACCGATACTGAATATGAATATTTCATGAAATTGAATTATAATACAAATTAGTAATAAGGGTTTCTCTGCGCCCTTATCTAACCCATACTAAAGAGCTGCGGGTAGAGAGGGTGACAGGAGAGGATGGCACTGAAGAGAAGATGCTCGGTTTCTGGAGTCTCCTGGTCCTGTCAGTATAGTAGGATGCATCTGCTGTGTCTTCTCGTGGATGCTCACCTACCTTGACTGTTCCAGCCTGGTATGGATTTCCCAACACTGTGGACAGTGGCCCACGTCAGATCGTTTAATATTGATTACATATGTCTGAATTGCTAACCCTAACCCTAGCTCAACAGACCACAATGCCCTGGACTGTCAGTATTATTACATGCTGTGAACATAAGTAGCTTTGATCACAGTTTATGTCGTAAAAGAGAAGGAATATTGAAAAAAAGATCAACATTGTGATATTATTTGTTCCAAACTGACCAGAAACATGCTTGTCAGACTCTCACAGCAAAGGATCAGACTCACTGTGCATGACAGCTCAGGCCAATGATGTCTGTTAGATTGTCAGTTGTTTAGTGCTTCTGTACAGTTAGAGTCACCGTCTCTATTTCAGAATAATTAATATGCGGAAAACACTAAAAGTTGATTGTCTTCCATATTCTAGCATAATTAAAAAACTTTGACTTTGTAAGTACATATTATTAGTCCTAATGTCAGTATGATTCTTCATAACTCCTGCCCCTGAACTTAAAATTTACCTGATGAAAGATCATTTACAGTGGCACTCTGTCAGGATGATTCTGACCATAAGATCACTGTATTAATCTGAATCCTTCTGCAATGTGCTGTGAATGAATGCTGATGCAACTCACTGTGGGAAAGCTGTTAATAAAATGAATCTGTGACACATGCAACACATTCACAGAGGAAGAGGACACAAAGGGAGGACACACAGAGGCTGTGTTGAAGTCAGAAATCCAAATCTTTATTAAAAAACAGGCGGCGGTTACAAACAGGAAGACAAGCAGTCCATCAAACTGTCTACAGGGTCAAACATACAGAGAATTCAAACAGCAGTAAAAAATAACTGGACACTGAAAAACATAAAGGAATGTGTGATGCAATAAAGGAAGCAGCGCAGTATATTCACTGAATTATCATCAATTACAAAAGAGAAAAATGACGATTTCTAAGGATTATTTCTTAAATGCAGTTAGAGTGGCTGGTAAAGATGGAAACATACAGAATGTAAACTGTGTGAGTTTGTGAACTTTGTTAGAAACAAATGAGGTAAAAAACAAAACAGACAAAACACAGAAAGAGGCTCTCAGTATTCATTCATAATTAGAAAGAAACATTCTGGTTGTGGATTTTACAGTCTTAGTTCCGCTCGCTGTCATCATTATAATCATCATGATCAATGGCGAGGTCCTGAGGTGGGCGGGGCTGTCTCTGGTGATGTCACCATGAAGGAACAGCATCTGGCACGTGTTGGTGAAACATCCCAGTACACTGGTGTAGTTTCCTCTCCAGCTGTTGACATGTGACACTTGAACATTAAGGGGAAGAAGAAGAAACAGTGTTAGGTCAGGTGACCACATGGTTTCTAAAGTAACTGACAGGAAGTAACCAGGCCGTCAGAAATTGATGGCATGTGTTTAGAGTTACTGGAGTTGGGTAACTCTACTTACCAAAAGCAGAAGCACACAGATGAAGGATCAGATGCTGAATGTTGCAGGAACATGCTCGTGCGGTGGTCATTCAGTGCTGCTCCGGCAGGTTAGACAGTCCAAGACTGATATGCTGCCCATCTGAGAGTTTGAAAACACACATGCAAAGATTTATTTTGTGTTACAGTCAAAGTTGGATGTTCATTTTTGTCCTTTAAAAATGTTTGTGTATTTGAAAGCACTAACATTTAAGGATGACTTGGATCGTCTCCTTTAAAGGGGAGACAAGTGTATCCACTGATCCACGTCACTTTACCTGGATGATGACTCCTCTCCCCTCACTCAGAAACACTCCTAATATAACCAAGCAAATAAATAATATTGAAGATTTACTTACATCATTACAAAAACATAAAAACATCTCCCTTTGATTCTATTTCTCCATTCCTGCTGAACATCAGGCAACAAATATCTCAATAAATCACAGTAAAATGTAAAGCACATGTTTTCTCTGCTTTGTCTAACCTCTGCAGAGCCTCTGTCAAGAAAACATAACTGTAAGCATAAAACAAATATACATTTCATAACACGTCACTGGACAAACCTCGGTCAGTTGATTCCTCTGTGCAGTGCAGACGAACATCAGTCAGCAAGTGACTCTGCTGGTTCTTCTGAGGAAACACCACCATCTCTCCACACCGTCACCATCTGTGAGCACAAACTGCTGCTCTGCTCTGCCAGCATGTAGGAAATCACATATCACACACACAGGGGTGAAGAAACATCAGAGCTCAACTTTGGATACTTTAGATCTAACAGATCAAAGTAGCTCTTAGTTTCAGCAATCAGACAAACAATGATACCAAACTGATTCTGTATGAATACAATATGGTATTTTCAATACAGCTGTCAAATTAATTTATTAAAACTAATACAGCTATATGTATATTTTTTTGATAAATTAGTTTGCTAAATTATAAGAAATATATATTTTTTCATTTATCAATTGCAACTGAAAGAAATTAAATATTGAACAAAAATATATTGTCACATTCTGAGCATGCTCAGCACGCTGACAGACTTGAAGTTGCTACAGATTTTAAGAAGTGATATTTATAGGGAAGAAACTTCTCTTTTTCATCCGTTTAATCAAACATTTGATGCCTCAGCTGTCTCAGTCTATAGCGTTCTGCAACTACAACTAACCTGAGGCTTGGATTTGGCTGCAGTGCCCCTGTACATCCTTCTCAGCAGCACACATGTGGTACCATTTAATCACACTTCTTCCTGAGCTTTGCTTCATCACAAGACCAAAGGTGGCATCCCGTGTCACAGTCTTATCATCATCCAGAAAAAACATTTGAAGAAACATCATGGAGAAGAAACATTACGCGCCTCCTGGTTTTGTTTTCTGATCCTGCGAAAAGACTGAGGACAACAAAGCCCAGAGAACACGAGATACACAACATCCAACATTCAGACTCAACAGCCTCCATAAATGAAGAGCACCAGGTTGGTTCAGTTATAGTAGATATGAGCATACTTCACATTACTGGGTATGAATAATAATGAGAGGCAAACTTTGAAGATGCAGAGCATGATGTCCCATCATCAGACTGTAAACAAACATCCACCAGGCTTCTTTGTTGCCAAAATTGATGATTCTCCCATCAGGATCAGTAGCCTGTGTTAACCTGTGGTGGTTTCAGATAAGAAATCTAGCACATAAAAGCCAGGGTGGGAGGGATCTCTGCAAACTGACTTAACTCTGCAAGTGTGAAGCTCAACAAAAATCTGACTCTCTAGTCACAGACAAACAAAAACTCCAGCTGGGAGATAGAAAACGCTGTCTGGGTCCTGCTGGATGTTGCTGGTCAGAGTCCCACATTAGCAGAGTGCTTCTTGGTCCCACTGACCCATGTGGACAGCGACTGTGGAGAACTGTTCTGGAAAACAGAGAAGAGAATTAAAGACTCTCTTGGAATCAGCAATCAAAAAATCACTGGTTCATATTTCAATTAAATATAACAGGTTCCTTAAATGTACGCAGTTCAGATCTGATTTAATTTAATTTCCTTCACACAGCACATTCGTCCAGGCTGACAGGTAAACATAGAATTAATCTCAGGTAACATGACTCATAGTAGAGATTCAGTAAGAAAGATTGCAGGCTCTAATATTATTACCACACAATCCAAGGACACACCAACAGCTCCGATTTCTAGAACTATTTAAACAAATGTCTTCTGAATATTCAATTCAGGTTCACAGTGGGAGGGGGGGGAGGTGTCGTGGAATTTTTTAAATAAAGTCTGCAACACAGAAAGAGCTGTGATCAAGCTATTTATTACTGCGCCGACACACATCAAACATCACAGTTCAGTCATGTCAGCGCTGCCACAGAAGTTGTGCTCCTCCTCCTTTATGCATTCCAAGGAAGAGGGAGGAAGTTAAACTGATCCTACCACACTTCACATGTCTCGCTATGAAACCTAACGCATCAATGGTTGTGCTGTTTTGTGCCCTTGGCCTTATCAGCACCTGTAAAGGGAGTTGTTTTCTCAAACTGCTGACGCTGAAGTAAGTTCATCTAGTTTTAGAAACTTTCACTGAACAGTAACAGTGTCACAACTAAGCATATGCATAAGCACTTAAATACTTCAAATGAGAATAACAGAAAATTTCTTTACAGGAGCTAGAGCCTGTCCCAGTAGTCATAGGTAGAGCACATCTGGACAGGTCACCAGTCTGTCAGAGGACTAACACACAGACAGACATCAGAGTAACAAATCTATTTAAAATTAATGTAAGTTGCTGCAGCTGTATGTATGAACATGTGTTTCTGTGCTCACAGTCCACCTCTCAGGAACCTGCAGTTGACTTTTAGTCAACTTTAAACAGACCTCACAAAAGGCTGATGTGGCTGGATCAGTAGTCTGATTTGAGTACGATACCTTTGGCCAGGGATTACTCTGGTGCATCGCTTCACTGCAGTCTTACGTATTTTCCCCACACCTGAATAAAAAATACTGATATATACAAATAACAGCTTCAGCTGATGCAGCCTGACTCAATCCTAGATGTTCAGCACACAGAGACACAGAGGTGCCGTTTAAAGTTTAGTGTTAACCTGAGTCACTGATCATTTGCAGTATTACAGAGTCTGGCAGTCTTTGCATGATGTCCACGTCACTGTAAGTTTCTAGCTGACTCTCAGGTGTGACAGGTGTGCCAGCAGAAAGAGTAATAATAACCTGCATCCTGAGTTTGTCATGCAGGATTAAAGGAGCCAGGCTTTGTTCACACAGCTGGGATTGTATTTTACACTGACCCTGGGTCAGTATAAGTATCATACAGTTTAAACGAAGCACTGAAACTTGCACATATTTATTACAGATGCACTGAAGCTAATCGAGATATTGCTGTCAGTCTGTGGCTGCGATTAAACACTTTACTGGAAACTTTATTAACTAGTAACTTCATCAGTCATGACAGAAGCTAATATTTCTGTGCTAACATCGTTTAACCAGTAACAGCTTTCCTCCAATATAAGCTAACGTTTACACCGTAACTTTAAGCTAGCACCATAAAGACGGTAAAACACGTAATAACATCTACAAATGCATCTTAAAGCTGTTATATTAGCACTCTGTGTATTACTAACATAACCACATTAACATTACTGACACTCGCTGACTTTTAATAGTCATTCTATAAATGCTGTCCGTTTAAACGGTCTTACCTGTAAACACTGCATATCCACCGGATAGTAGCCAGAGTGGATTCTGGAGTCTTCCACGCTCCTGTTAGTGATCCTCCATCTGGATGGATGAGAACAACCTTCTGAACAATCTAGCAGGAGATGGCCCATATCTATGGGACTGATTGTGCTAATAACGCCCATTGTATGGACTGATAACAGCCGAAGCGGGTGAATAAAGTCACCCAGTAGCTAGCTGTGCCATTACCCAGCATACATCACTCCCTCCACAAATGCAATAAACCATACAAAAGTATCGTTCTACCTGTTTTTCAGGTAGTTGTTTACATTATATAATTTATTGTGTTCAGTATACTCACTACAAGTGATTTCGGAAATATATAAATATACCGACAACAGGCTCTTCCGCGGCAATCTCTTCAATCGGAGGACCTTCACGTCAATTCCCGACGCGAGGGGGTACCCTGCGCGTCCATAAGTGCAGCAGAGGGAGCCTGACCATGCGTCACACGTTTGACGAGTTGGGAGTGAGAACGTGTTGGAACAGCTAACCTGGATAGACCTTTGTACCTCACGGTTCCTGGACATGTTGAAAACAAAGACACATGCAGGGCAAAGTTTTATTAAACTTGTCTTATCAGCTGTTTGGTGAACGTGTTTGTGCGTGTGTGTGTGTGTGTGTGTGTGAGAGCGAGCGAGCGAGAGACATTCAGAGCGAAAGATCACGTGCAGATTTAAACGCCATCGTTTTCCTTTCTCGGCTAAATCGTATAAAACGTATAAAAACTATAATTACTATGCGGACATTAGCATCCGCTAGGAGTAACACCATAAACACAATCATGCGTTTCTCTGTAACATTTAATATCAATGACTAACTAACAACAATCAAAGGTGGAAACAATGTATCAGTAAATCAGTTAAGAGCTTCATATTAGAGAACTTAGCTACTTCAGTTTACTCAGAACTTTCTGACCACGAGTGTGACGCGTCCATCATGCAGTTAACAAATCACTACGATACGTTCAAACGCATGTTCTCATTTGCTTCTCAATCAAATCCCCAAATCTGACACTTGTTTGTAACATCCTGGGTTTTTTAAAACCACGATTTTGCCTTGCGTGCTACTTTTAATAGAGCAGTATCATTCATAGGGAAGATGTGTGTGTTTCAACACCCCTCAAATACATGTACATTCTGACCGCAACATAATGAAATCTGTAAAAAAAATAGACAAATAAAGACAAAAAAGAAGAAAAAAAAAAAAAAAAAAAACAAAAAAACAAGAGGGATTTCAGGACACAGCAGGATATTCACATTTGTAACCAGATATTTACACTTTAGGGAGAAAACATAAAACATTTTTACTGTACAACATCAAAACTTTTGTTTTAGATAAATATTGAAATATCTTTTGAATTAGTTAAATGTCAGAATAAAGAGAGACAGAGCTGTCTATTTTTTATCACTTTCATTAAATTTAGGAGTACATATACACTAAGTTTATTGTTAATTAATAAGAAAACTCCAGAGGATTCCATTCTGAGCTGAAGAAGCTTCTGATAGGTTAGTAGAGTCCATGTGAGTAAATTGGTGGCACAGCTGTGGATGCATATAAGGCAAAACACAGAGCCTGTTTCTGTGACATGGGAAAATCAAGAGATGTCAACCAAAACACAGGAAAAGAACTGTGGAGCTCCATAAGTGTGGCTCAGTTTGAATACAATTTGGTGCCATTTGCAATTAAAAAACACAGACAGTTTCTCTCTTTACTCTTAAAGTTAACAAATATGTTTTTATATTTATCAATCTAAAAAAATAAACATTTAGTCTGATTTGATGTTACAATTAAAAAAGTGTTTGTGTTTTGATCTGAAGAGTTTGTAAATATTTGGTTTCAACTGTATATTTGATGATTGTCAGCACAAAGAGAGAGAGAGAGGAGCAGAGATTGAGATGGAGAATGAGGACAGAACAGAGATGAACAAGAGCAGGTGAGACACACATGTTAGTCAAATGGTTACTTACTAAAAGTATCACTGTATCATAGGTACTCATGTATCTCGTACCTAGTGTTTCTTTTTAGGTTTGCTATTTTTCAAATTCTATATTTATTAAGTTCTGCAGGCTTGTTTGCACAACAAGGCTAAATAATTATATAAACTTTTCTCAATCTAAATATTGTACTTTGGTAGAATTAAATAAATAAGTGTAGTGCAGGTCTATGATGATTTTAGTGCTACTATCATCTAGTTCTGATTCTGGTTATGTCTTGGTTAAGTCCTCAGTAGTCCTGTTTTTGAACTGTTGTAGTCCTGTTTTAATTCTGGATCAGTTCTGCGTCTGGTTGAATTGGGGTTTAGTCCCTGTGTCTTGGTACAGCCCTGACTTCGTTCTGTCTTGCTGCTTAATTAAAAAACTAGTTTAAGGTGTCCTGCATGTGTGATATATATATTTCCCTATATGAGTCATTCTTTTTTGAACAAAACTCAAACAGAGCCAATTAATCTTTCAGTCATTTCTACCCCCCCCCCCCCCCCCCCCCTCAAAAAAAAAAAAAAAAAAAATCCCACATGCATACTACCCTTTAGGGCTAAGCCCCGGGTGTTTCAAATGTCTGGCTCCTCCTCTGGTTTTAAACTAACTTTTGGTTAAACTTTTCTTTTTCTTGTTAGTAAGGGATTCATTTAAAAAAAATAACTTAACCCATCCCTCCATCCATGAATTCAGCTATTCATTGTCTTCTGCCTGTCAAAGGTCTTGTCTCATTAAGTAGAGAAGTCCAGACCTCCCTCTCCCCAGCCTCCTCTAGCTTATGTGGGAATCATCGAGGTGTTCCTAGGCCAGCTGCGAGATGTAATGATCCTATGTGTCAATGGCTGTTCCCAGGGGGCTCCTTCTAATGGACATGCCTGGAACACTTCACCAGGAGGCTGCCCAATCAGATGCCCACACCACCTCAATTGGTTCCTTTCAATATGGAGGAGCAGAAGCTGTACTCTGAGCCCATTTCAAACGACTGAAGTCCTCACCCTATCTGTAAAGGAGAGTCCAGCCATTCTTCAAACGAAACTACTTTCTGCCATTTGTACCCGCGATCTTATTCTTTCAGTCACTAGTTGTACCAAAGATTTCAACACCCACTGTACAACTAAGTGGTTCAACAGTGGGGTTTGGACTGGTGGAGTTCGCTGAAACAAGTCAGAGCGGGAATACCAGTAGCTGTAATATTGAACCTTTATGGATAAAATTAAATCTCAGGACCAGTGTACCCTGCCTGGGACAGGGTTACAGGTGTCCAACCCTGAGCCAGACCAGGGAAGAATTCGTCGAACCATCAATTTTGGTCCATATCAAACTTAAATCCTCAAATTCCATTTTTCCTGCTCTAATACACAAATTTGGCACAAAAATGTTACTGCTCCCTAAATGTCCCACGCACTCGTGACATTATATTTATTCACTTCACTTGTCAGTGGTTACAATGTTTGCCTGATCTTTTTTTACCGACTTATTGTAAATTATTATATTTTACAAGTCCTGACAGTCAGACTGCGAGTTTGAACCTGTGAATAAAAGGTCTAGAGAATCCAACAGATTCACAGTCAGTAAATCCTCGTCTAAGTAAAACAGACACCTGAAAAAGGACTGTAGAGGGTTACTAATGTGACAATATCACATAGGACAGTGACTACATGTAAAACATTTTGCTGGCTAATATTACTGTCAAAGTATCACTGAGAGAAATATGCATATTTTAGAACAGAGACATTACAGTTGCTGCTCCCATCAGACCACTAGAGGGCAGGTGCTGTCAAGTATCTTCTTTTCGAAAATGGCAAGATCAGCAGAGTTGTGGTTCATCGTGTAAACTTCAGTTAAAAAAGTTAGAGATAAAGTGATTAACTTTACTTTTCTATGTTCTGAGACTTTGCAATTAACTCATGCTCATTTTATGGACATTATTAGCTATTCATGTTAAATCTTTATTTCATTTTCTCACAAATACAAACATCTTAAAAATAAGAAAGACTGAACAACAGTTTAAGTCTCAAATCCTTTATTTGGATACATCAATATAGGCAGTCCTACCCATTCACTAACTGGCACCTTTAGCATTGCTGCTATTCTTCAAGTCCAAAAGGCAAATGTTTGTATGTTTTTGTCATTTTCAAGAGAATAACTTGGTTTTCAGAGGAGGAAGCAAACTGAACTTTGGATGCTGCTTATACCCATCAACTAAAACTCTGTGCCTGTTTTTAGTTGTTCTGGAAAAGATCCTTACTTCACTGGAGTCAGAATCAGTAGATGTGTTAGTACGGAAATAAATATTTATTTTATTTTTTGTTAAGACAGTTTCTCATAATTCAGTTCTTTGTCTATATTGAAAAAAATAATAAATTCAGCGGCAGTGAAAATGTTATTTAAAATGCTCTGTATCATAATGTATACAGTTTATATGGAAATAAATACAATTTGATTTGACATGGTTGTAATTCATTTAAAACAAAACAGGACTTCAGGTTTATCAATCTGATAACTGCTGTCAGTCAGAGGCTAAACACTGACAGACCTGCACAAATACTCAGCAACAGTCAAAAATGTTTAGTTTGAACCTGTAAATAATTAATTATTAAGTCTTTGAAGAAAACAAATAAAACAAAACAAAACAAAAACACTTTACTATGCAGTCTGGTCAAAATTATATTTAAATTTAATTTATTTAAAAATATGCAAATGAAAACGTTAGTTAAAAGGGAGTGGTGTGTCTGTGTGTTCAGTGAGAGGACCAAGGAGCTCACATCATTTCAGCTTCAGCATCAATCATGTTCACTCTGATACTGCTGCTGGCTGCTGGATCCTGTGAGGAGCATTTAGTGGATTCACTCTAATAAACACTGAATAGTCAGATAAATGATGGCAATAATATTGATTTCTGTCTCCACAGGTGTGTACAGTATTGATCTCATCCAACCAGACTCAAGAATTGTGCAGCCTGGACAGTCTTTGACCTTCACCTGTCGCGTCTCTGGTTATTCTGTAACTAGCTATGGAACAGCTTGGGTCAGACAGCGTGAAGGAAACCCACTGGAATGGATTAACATTATTTGGAGTGGTGGGAGCACTGACAAAAATGATGCTTTAAAGAACAAGTTCAGCATCAGCAGAGACACTTCTGCTCAAACAGTGACGATAACAGGACGCAATCTGCAGCCTGAGGACACAGCTGTTTATTACTGTGCACGCCATTAACGCACAGTGATATAAACCACTGACAGACCTGAACAAATACTCAGCAAGCAGAGACACACAACTACACACAATGGAGAATAATAAATAGAAATACAATAGTAACTGTGTATTATTAAAGATTTTCCCAGTCAGTGTTCATGCTAAGAAGGTTTCTGCTTGGGTTCACTTGTAAATGTCTTTCTGATTTAAATAGTCTTTCTCCAGAGACAGTGAATGGCATGTGTCAAATTGGTTTTACTTAAGAGGCCACAGAAAACCTGGACTGTGACGAAAAAAGTTTTCAAGGCCATCTCTTCCAGATTTACTATTTTGTCAAGCAGCATTTGACTAAACACTGAAACACTTTGGTAAATCGTTCCTGATTACTGACTGTAGTAAAAGCAGATGGTACTCTCACTAATTGCGAAGACATTTCAAGACAGGTTTATAGACATGTCGTCTCAAGACACGACACCAGATAGCAACTGTTTTATAAAGACAATAAGACTGTTTGAATGCTGTGTTCAAAACTCACTGTGAATTTGTTAGGACATTTTACAAAATACAGTAATCATTTAAATGACACATCCTAAACTAATATTGCATGGTAATGTTTTATTGTTTTATGAAGCTCCCTAACCCTTAAGCAGTTTCCTTAAGTTTCTTTAAATTTAAAAACTTCAAAATTATAAAGGAAAAATGAGCATATTTTGTCCTTAAAGATTTAAAAATATTATGTCTTTCTGTCCCCATTAAAAATAAAAGTTAATATGGAGAATTTTAAAAATTGTATTCATAACATTAGAGCTTTTGAACTAAAGCTGTAATTTAAAGATTACTTAGTGGCAATTCGATTGGTTTAGATTTCATTAGATTTCAGCAAAACAACCAGAACACTAGAGGAGCTGGCATTTGTTAGTCTTCCTTGACTTTGTTTTGTTTACATTTTGTTACACTGATTTATCAAAAGTCATTGGTCTATGCTGATAATAAAATAATATATTTAGTGGCAAAACTTCTGTTTTCAGTTTCCATGAAAATAAACTACATTCTATTTGACATAGCTTTATAATTGATAAGAAAAAAAAAAGGTTTATTAAGCTAATCATTTACATGGTCACATTAAATAAAAACACAAGTATGCCATTAAAATAAAAGCACTTTCTCTGGTCAAAAATAACATATAATATCATATGTAAATATAAGTTATTTAAAAATATGCAAATGAAAAAGTGTTGAAAAGAGGATTGGTGATTCTGTGTTTCACTGAGAGGACAAATGAGCTCACACCATTTCAGCTTCAGCATCAATCATGTTTGCTTTGATACTGCTGCTGGCTGCTGGATCATGTGAGGAGCTTTTGCTGGATATAATCTAAAAAACACATTAGAAACACTGAATATTCATATAAATGATGGTGATAATGTTGATTTCTGTCTCCACAGGTGTGTACAGTATTGATCTCATCCAACCAGATTCAAGGGTTTTGCAGCCTGGACAGCCTTTGACCATCGTCTGTCAGGTCTCTGGTTATTCTTTGACTGGACAGCAGCTATGGAACATGTTGGGTCAGACAGAGTGATGGAAAGCAAATGGACTGGATTAACTGCATGTGGTATGATGGGAGCACTGCCAACAATAATGCTTTAAAGAACAAGTTCAGTGTGAGCAGAGACACTTCTGCTAGACAGTAACAATAAGAGGACAGAATCTGCAGCCTGAGGACACAGCTGTTTATTACTGTGCACGTTACCACACAGTGATACAAACCACTGACAGACCTGCAAAAATACTCAGCAACAAGCAACACACAACCACACATAAGTGATAAATGTAAATATGAGTCATGTATGGTGTACATTTTAGGACATCCTCAGGTCTCAGACAAAAAGTCATCAGTCTCAGAAGTCATATTATAATTATTATTATGGACAGGCCTCTTTAACAAAAACAAACAAACAAACAAAAAAACAATGTACAATGTATATTAATTTATTGTAACAAATTACTTAATTCTTAAAAACATTATTGTTTTTCATGTCATATTGCATATATGCAGAGAGTTGCTGTTTCCATGAAGTCTCTTCAACCCAACAGTGTTACTGTGTAAGTGGGATGAACACAAGCTATTTCGTGTTTGTTTGTTTATTTATTTAATGATGCCCTGCAGTTATCTCTGGGATAATCATAAATGTATATCATAGATTTCTGGCCAAACATTCTTAATAAACTGAGAAGATCCTGTACTGTTTATGGGCATATATCACCTTGATAAAAACACTACATCGCAGATTTACAGGGTATACAAGCAGCCTTATATGGAATATAATATAACAATACTGCATGTAAATCACTCTTTGCTCCATAGCCCCTGCAGCATCTTCTAGCAAATTATGAGTCATAGTGATAATTCAATCTCAGATCTCAGATGTATGACAACTAGTAACTCAGGCAACAAATATTTGAAGCTTTTTTGTTTTATAACCACATAAGCTCTCCAGTCTGCTGTTCAGTCTACCTGACTCCCTTGACTGTCTGACAGGCAGATGGCAGGATAATAATACTACTACTGCTACTATTAATAACAACAACAACAACAACAATAATAATAATAATAATAATAATAATAATAATAATAATAATAATAATATATTTGAGATTATGGAAACACTGCAAGCATTACAGTAAAAATATTAATGTTTCTAAGGGACATTATATAAGATGGGCACAGCTGAGATATTCCTGTTTTTGGTACTCGATAGTCGAATTCTACATCTTGTAGATGTGTGGGAACTTTATTTGATTACAGTGGATTCTTAATATGCATTTGTTTTCTCTATTTGCATGTGTTTTTATAAGCTGGAGTGAACTGAATTCTTTCACAGTTACACTGATGTTTTAGATGTTCCTGTTATTCATAAAGACATGACATCAGACTGGAGTGGAGATCGCACCACATCAGGTCCACAAGCAAACTCTGTTACTGCTCTTGGCAGCTGAATGTGAGTCTGTTTAAATCTGTCATGTTCAGGAGTTCTTTGACAATTTATCACAAAAAAAGTTTTATCTTTTTACAGGTGTGAAGTGTGAATAGTTGACACAGCCAGTCTGTGTCTTAGTGCAGCCAGGTCAGCATCTGGCCATCACCTGTCAGGTCTCTGTTCTGTGGAAAGCTACTGCATAGCTTGGATCAGACAGTCTGCAGGGAAAGGACTGGCGTGGATGAGTCAGGACTGTGAATTAGACTGTCTTTGCACCTGAAATAACATAGTCCAAGTGAATCCTTGTGGAACGCTCACTACAAACAACAACTGCAAACAATAACCATGTGTATGATTTCAACATCATTTGTGTTTGATTAGTTTGACTGTAGTTGCAGTTTATACTGCTGATTCATTATTCCCAAACTCCAGCCATGAGCAGACAGCTTGACATCTGTACAAGCATCAAAGGTACGTCACGATACTTGTGTGTAGTAAAGAACAAATATGCATCATTCTGTTTACATAAGAAACTGCAAATGCAAAGTTCCTTTTTTACAAACAGACACCAAGAACATGCTCATAATTGAAGTAAAGTGTGTGACTGCGTCAGTGACAGATAAACTCTGACACTTTAGAATTGTATATTTTGTGTCTTTTTGACTTTTCTTGTTACTCTTGTGGCTGACAAGAGTAACCAATTAACACAGTGTAATTTTTTTTTTATCTGGATTCACCTTCAGCAGCTACTATATGGCCTCAGAAAGGCTCCTGGAAAACGACTGGGGTGGCTTACAAGCCATTATAACAGTCGCAACATCTTTTATTCTTAAACATTTCAAGGCCGTTTTATCATCTCCAGAGACAAAAGCAAACAGCAGCTGTATCTGCAGATGAACAGTCTGAGGACTGAAGACTCAGCTGTTTATCATCTTTCTGCTCCCTTTGCCAGACAAAAGTGAAACTCGAACAAAAGTGCATTTTACTTCCCCATATGAAGATTGTGTAGTCATACAGAGTATGAATATAAAAAATATGGGAGTGAATAAACAGTTATTTCAAGACAAAATTTTAAATTTGAAGAACAGCTCAGTTTCAAATCATTTGTTTAAACGTTAAATCTGTACCAAGTGCACTTTTGCATTTTACAGTCCTGTTTTTTTTGCTCTTGGGGCTTCATATTTCTCTGTATGTCTGTGGTTTAAATACATTTTGAATTCAGAATTTTTTATTCAAGATTAAATTAGATTAGACTGATTAGTCAGCGCATCAGTTCAGCTTCAGCATAAACCATATTCTCTGTAGTTCCAGAGTGACCTGGACCTTGGCTCATGTAATTAAATACATGGGATAGTGAAATTAATTACACAGACAAGTGTGAACTAATGCAGAATTAAATGTTCACATGTATTAGTTGGAGTGTCTTTCATCAGTTGTGCACCAGTTGTGAAAATGCAAAGTTGCTTTATTCAAATGAGAAATAAGGATCAAGAATTTCCTCATAACTGAAGTGAGTGAGAGGAAAGAGGAGCTCACATCAGCTCAGCTTCAGTAACAACCATGTTCTTTGTTGCCCTGATCCTGCTGGGAGCTGCTACATCCTGTGAGAAACTTTGTTGGATTCACATAATAAACACAATAGCAATGCCAAATGAGTAATGACTATAATGTTGATTTTTGTCCCCACAGGTGTGTATTGTATTGATCTCAACCAGCCAGATTCAAGGGTTGTGCAGCCTGGACAGTCTATGACCATCACCTGTCGGGTCTCTGGTTATTCTGTGACTGATGGCTATGGAACATGTTGGATCAGACAGCGTGAGGGAAAACAAATGGATTGGATTTTCTGCATATGGTCTGATGGGAGCAGTAGCAAAAATGATGCTTTAAAGAACAAGTTCAGCATCAGCAGAGACACTTCTGCTCAAACAGTGACAATAACAGGACAGAATCTGCAGCCTGAGGACACAGCTGTTTATTACTGTGCACGTAGGGACACAGTGATATAAACCACTGACAGACCATCACAAATACTCAGCAACATACAACACACATCCATACATGTGCTGTAAAGGGGATATGAATAAAGAGTTTGTTGAAAGGGCAGTTTACCATTTCCAAAAACGACAGTAAATTTATATTTAAATAGGCATACAAACACTGCTTTTTACCAACAGAAAATAAATAACAAATAAAAAAAAAACTGACTCACATACTGTATATGTCTCTCTGTCTGCAGCGGTGCTACCTGAAGTTGTGAACCAGGTGGAGAAGTGGAAAAAGGCTCTGCTGGTAGTAATTCTGGTCCACTAGTATCTCATAATAATTTTTAGAATCTAATATCAACCCTGGAATTGAGCTGTTCTTAGCAGCTGGGTGTGACTCTAAAAATATCCTATACTAACAGTACCAGAAGCTCTTCTTTCTTCTTCTTTTATTAATGTAACTTTTACAAAAAATATGTCAGTAAATTATTTTTTAAACTCTTTTTAAACTTTTCGTAGCAGCTACTTGAAGGTTTTACTTTTTTTAAATGGACTACACTATCAACACATTGGCATTAAAAGGGCAGAATCTGCAACTTGCAGACATTGCTGTGTATAACTGTACCCCACAGCCACAGTAACACAAAGTGCCTGTGCATTTGTAGCATAGAGTCACCAGAGGAGGTGCTCTCAGACCACTATTGAGTTTAGTGAACAGTACTGAGAAACCAAATTTAACACAGTTTCAGATGTAAAGTTTTTAAAAGCCTCCATCAGATAGAAATTTGTTTCTTTGCCTTTCTCAATGGCAGTGTTAATTTCAACATGCATATAGAGGACAAAAGCACCATTTAATATTGTGATATGCTTCCTCCACATAAATATACTGCCATTATTTTATATTTCTACTAAACTAAATTGTGAACATAATGCAATTCTTGCTTCAGCATCATAAACACAGGAATGCTGTCAAAAAAATGTGGAATCAATTGGCTCAGTGGGATTAGCAGTGCATCCAAAAGTGTGACACTGTGAGTTTTCATCACTCGAGTGGTATATTTTTTTTCATCTCATTACTTTTTGAAGGCACTTTTCTTATTTCGTTTTGTTTATTTTGTTTTAAGTAAGAAACCAGTTGTTAAACAGAAGCTTTGTCTTGATAGAAAGTCTAAGCACCTCAAGGTGACATTTAAGTAACATCTGGAAATAGGTTTAACTTTCATTTTGAAACTATTTTTCAACCATGACTAGCAGCCAATGGTTATCTGACGTCAAAATGTTTGCTGTGAGCAAAGTAAAAAACCCACATTTTCAGAGGTGTCTGCACAATCTATTTACTTGTTTGTGTGTACCCATTTTTATGGGTACACACAAACTGATTTTTAACTGATTTTTTTTTTTTGAATTTTTTTGAATTTTATTTTATTTTATTTGTATTCTTTCACTTATTGTTGCATGTGTGTTGTTGCTGCCTGTGTTTGATAATTTCTGTAACTGTGAGACACCTGCTGCTCCTGCCTATCTTGGCCAGGTCTCCCTTGAAAAAGAGGTTTTTAATCTCAATGGGATTTTCCTGGTTAAATAAAGGTTAATAAATAAATAAATGGCCAGTACTTGGATGTTGATAGTCCGGTGTGTCTCTGGCAGTTCTTCATATTTGTCTGAGTTGAAGGTAATCACATGAGCAAACTTAATAAACCACTGTGTTTAGATAGGCTGATGGTAATTAGTTTTTTTTTTTACTTATGTGGGAATCATTTGGGCTCACGCCTGTGACTATAAAGCAATGAAAAAATGACACAGAGATGCCCACAGTTTTGATCATTTTCTCCAGATCTATCGAGAACTTTTTTTCATCCTGTTAAATTCTTGAAGAAAGAGCAATGCAAATAGCTGTAAAAAGACAATTACATTTTTGATAGTGAGAAGCTCAAAATGCAGGTTCAGTTTATCCTATTGATGCAAAGTAGCAAACTGATATAAGATTTTTTGGTTTTGTGTTATGTTTATTTGTAGCTTCATTTAAAGGAAGAAGAGCTTGTGAATTGGAACCAACACAGGAAGAGAGATTGAAGCCATATGTGTAGAGGAATGTGGTGACATACGATACTACCTCCTGTTTTAACAGACAAGCTGGCGCTCTCTCTCTCTTTCTCTCCTTTTATGGGAATGTCTGAATTTCTATACATACCAAGTTACCTCCTTTTTCAGCAGATAAGTGAAAGGTTTTCTCCTTTTAAGGAAATATTATCAGTTCCATACATGCCACTCCTACTGCTGTGGAAACTTGCTTGAAGTATAAATAAAGCATGTTCTGAATGCCCTGGGCGGTTTCTCTGTGTCACATCTGTTGAGCAGTGACCGCCCATGCGCATGTAAAAAAAATAGATATCTGAGTTGTAAGTTTCTTTGCCTTCTAACAAATTTCTCCTCACACAAACAAAAAGAGACGTGAGATCTATAGTAATGTTTTCATTTCTCTAGATCTATGAAGTGTAGATCTGTACAGATCTATATAGTCTGATCTAGTTTTCAGAATTGATGAGACTGAAAATGAGAGATCAAGTTTAAAAAGAAAAATCACACTTTTTACACCAGAGAAAATGTAGCATATAAAAAATGAACTGAAAAAAAAAAATAGAAAGTAGACAATTTTCCAATTCCACTGAAACTTCACATTGAATTTTCGCAATGCAAATGCAAAGCCCTTTTATTTAAATAACCACCATGAACTTTCTCACAACTGTGAAGCCTGTGACTGCTTCAATGAGAGGACAGAAGAGCTTCATCATCAACCATGTTCTCAGTGGCTCTGATCCTGCTGCTGGCTGCTGTATTCTGTGAGAAGATTTCCTGAATTCACAACACTAAATACAATAGAAATGCTAAATACTTCAATGAATAATGGTTTAAATGCTGATTTCTGTCTCCACAGGTGTGTACAGTATTGATCTCATCCAGGCAGATTCCATGATTGTGCAGTCTGGACAGTCTTTGACCATCACCTGTCGAGTCTCTGGTTATTCTTTGACTGACAGCAGCTATGCAACAAACTGGATCAGACAGCGGGAAGGAAAACAAATGGATTAGATTTTTACCATGTGGTCTGGTGGAAGCACTGCCAACAATGATGCTTTAAAGAACAAGTTCAGCTACAGCAGAGACATTTCTGCTCAAACAGTGACAATAACAGGACAGAATCTGCAGCCTGAGGACACAGCTGTTTATTACTGTGCACGTACCTTACAGTGATACAAACCACTGACAGACCTGCACAAACACTCAGCAACCAGCAACACACCACATTAGGTGTTTTGTAAATATGATTATTAGTGATTATTAGTATGTAAACATATTTAACTAACTTTGGTTCAAACTATAAACTGATCTGAACAAATAAACCTCTAGTGAACCACACACTATAAATCTCAACCAATATAAAATAAAATAAAAATAATTAACAATAAGAATTATGCCACATTAAAATGTGCTGCTCCGCCTCTTTATGCCTCCTCTGACCCTCCTCATTCCTCCGACCCTTCATTGGCATTTTTTAAATCATTCATTTAGCAAAAGGAACAATAAAGTACTACGAAAAAACTTCACTACACATAAACCTTAATGTGTCAAAAATTATTTTTTTTATTTTGCAGAGAAATATCCTTCGTCAGTCTTATATGGATCACTATTACTGCTGCAGATGTTTAAGGTTGAGCTTGTTTCAAGCACTTTATATTGTCTGAAATCTGCAGTTATGCTCCATATTCACATCCATACTCACATATCTATATTATTGCTAATATATATTGTAATATATCTATATCACTAAAGCACTTCTGGATGGATGCAAACTGCATTTCGTTGCCCTGTACCTGTGCATGTGCAATGACAATAAAGTTGAATTCTATTCTAATTCTATTCTATTCTATATTCTATAAAATCATAGCTTTGTAGTATCTGTCCTGTGATTACCACAGCAGCTTGAACTAAAACTAAATATTTTCAGTATATTAATAAAATATCACAACTTATTAAAAAGGTTACCAAGTTTCTAAATGAATTATTAAATATTTTGTGGGGTTTTTTGTAATGTAATTTGGCTGAGGTGGTTACTGAGAGAAAACTCACATGTTATGATAAATGCTAGAGCCTGTAGGGTGCACGTATAGAACATGCTTTATTCAAACATTCATTCCTAAGCCAAAATGTGTCTCATTAGTAGATGGCCTGCTCTGCCTTTCGAAATTCTTCTGGGCAAGGAGATTAAAAACTCACCTATTATTAAAACATAACTGACATGTTGTATAAATTTTCCCCGTGACATGAAGTAATCAGAGGAGTTTAATTGTGATAAGATGCTGGCTGCTAGAATTACAGTGATTAGAAAAGACCAAGACCAAGAATTCATTCATTAGTTATCTACACAGAGGTTTCATTGCTGCTCAATGTGGGGTTTTTTGTTGATTCTTTTTTTTGCTTTAGTACAGTGTAAAAATCACTGTGTAGACTTCAACCAGGAAGATATTTTTGCCCGTATTTTAAAATCATTTTTATGCCAATTTCTGTCAATAAACTTGCTAGTCCAATATCTCAATTTATAGGAAAACTCTGACACTCATTACATAACTCAAAAATTGTATATTTAGTGCATTTTTGGATTTTTCTGTTTGCTGTTTTTTTTTTCATGTACCTGAGTACATTATGAAAACAGTTGTTCAGCATATGCATTGCAAACACAATGTACACACTCATTTCAGCTCAGTCCGTGCAGTGAGGAGGAGCCAATGCAAAACTGAGGTGTCTTTCACTTCTACTTATCTGCCTGTAGAGACAATGACAGATCAGTGGACTCACGTTCGAATGATGGACTGCAGGACAGGGTTGCTGCTTTTAACTCTCTGCTGGGCAGGTCAAGAACTTTTTTGTGTTAATACAGTCAGAGCTTTCGAACTAAAAGCCTGTCTTAAAAGATTATTTTCTTTTTGATTTTACAGGTGTTGATGGTCAGACTCTGACTGAGTCTGAATCAGTAATTAAAAGGCCTGGAG